ATTAAAAATAATTTTATTATTGTTATAAAGATAAATATAAATTATTTTTTTTTATACATACAATATGGATGTTAAATCGAAACTCATCAAAAGAAGATTAATTTGATATATTACATATTAAAATTGATAAAAAAAAAATATACAAAAGTTATTAACTTTTAAAATATATCTACAATTCGATAATTATAATAAGGAATGATAATAAAATGCAACTAATACATTTAACATGACCATCAATAATCAACATATTTATGGTAATCCGAACTTAATTATTTTTGGTTTGGAATTAAATTAAAATTTACCCAAGCCTAATAACGAATCATGTAATTTTGCTACATAGAATTCTGAAGCACCAGAAACAGCCACGTAGTGGTATTAATATATAGGGGGATATTACTTTTGCAACTTTGACTATGAAATATGTACAAGATAAAATATGTATGATGTATGTACAAAAACCATGGTAAAGTACGAAAAATAAAAAATAAAAATTCATAATTTAGTTTTTTTACATGTATCTCAAAGTATCATCATCTTGGTGATGTTTATTGCTTTCGCCTTTGAACATGTATGATATTAGAATATCATTTGTGAATTGTGAGTTGTGAGTTGTCTTGCATCCCTTCTATAAGAAAAATGAACTTAATTTTTAAGTATAGTGGGCTACTACTCACATCAACCAATTGATTTTGAAATGAAACATCATTAACGTACATACAGGCTCACCCTGTTTTACGTGCATGAGACTGCACCTTTTTTCTCCGATTCTACAATGGTATCAGAGCGGGCCTACGTTATGAAGGATCCACAAGTGAGGAGGTGTATTAGAATATCACTTATGAGTTGTCCCACATCTTTTATACAACAAATATAGATCTAGATTATAAGTCTAGTTTGTGAGTTATCCCACAACTTTATACAAGGAAAATATGCCTAAGTTATATAGTTTTGAGATTTAACCTCAATATGGTGCATCTAAAAACAAAAAAAGAAAAAAGAAAAAAAAAAAAGGCAAGACATCTTCAGGTGTTGTAATTATTTAGTAAAAATTTTGTCAGTGGTCCCATAATTTGGGGTGTAAATCAAAAATGATTTTTATTGAAATTCAATTAATTAGTCGTAGTTCAATAAATTTTAAATATAACCCATTTGATAATATTTTGGCCAAAAATTTGGGTTTTGATTGAAAAATCAATGTGATGCATATGTACAACATGCCAATTTTCAATCATTTACAATTTTCTAACATGTCAATTAATTTCAAGATGAATTATTTTTTTTAATTAAAATTATTCTCAAATATTTTATTAAAAAAAAAAACGCCACTGTTACTGATTAATTAATTGTAATCCAAGTACCCCAACAAAGTTAATTTTTTTATACACACTTAAAAGTTATGTGATAATTGTCTCATTTATATCCTACAAAGACATAAAACTGCATTGATTAAACAATTTTAATTTCATCAGCTGACGTGGCTTCAAAATGGGTAGCATGATCAAAATATATTTATCTTCACGGGTTGGACCTCACATGAGATATATATCTCCCTATATATTAATACACGCGCTGAGCCTACGTGGCTGTTTCTGGTGCTTCGGAATCCTATGTGGCAAAATTACATGCTTCGTTATTAGGCTTGGGTAAATTTTATTTAATTCCAAATTAAAAATAATTAAGTTCAGATTACCATAAATATGTTGATTATTTATGGTTATGTTACATGTATTAATTGTATTTTAATATCATTCCTTATTATAACTATTGAATTGTATATATATTTTAAAAGTTCATAACTTTTGTATTTTTTATCAGTTTTACATATGTAATATATCAAATTAATCTTCTTTTGATGAACTTCGATTTAACATCCATATTGTATGTATAAAAGAAAAATAATTTATATTTATCTTTATAACAATAATAAAATTACTTTTAATATCAATTAGAAAAATAAAATTATTTATCAACTAATATATTTATATTTCAAGTAGTTATATGATATAAGTTATAAAAACTAATATAATATAACACATGTAAGTCATAAGTAACACATATCATTCCAAAATATATAGTAATATATTTTTTTTTTTGTAAAAAAAGTAAACTAATATAGTTTTCTCATTAATTTTAAAATTTAATAATAATTTTTTAACAAGCACCCGTGTAATACACCGGTGTTGTACTAGTCATATATATATGACTGAAAATATAATAATAATAGTAATAATAATAATAATAATAATAATAATAATAATAATAATAATAATAATAATAATAATAATAATAATAATAATAATAATAATAATAATAAAATGTATATATATATATATGTCCAGTCAGGTTTAACACGTCATTAATATAGTCAGCGTGTTATTATATCTGGTCACGGAATATGGTAATTGTTTTATTTTATTTTCTAAAAGGCCAAAAGGTGAAGAAGTGGACCAGTCCATGAGCGTATCAACTATCAACATAAACTCCTTTAAATTCTTTGTGCAATTTCTCAACGGCCCCATAAATAAATCTCTACAATTTTCATTGGACCATTTTAGTGGTTTTTCATTATGGAGCACTCGTATGTATCGAGATCCTATGTGGAAAAATTACATGTCTCGTTATTAGGTTTTGGGTTGATTTTAATTTACTTCTAATCTAAAAATAATTATGTCCGAAATATCCATAAATATATTGATTATTT